AAAAAAAAAAAAAAAAAAAAATAGAAGAAACCTGGCTCCCCTGCTGGCTGAGGCCCCAAATTCTGTGTCCCTTTTTCTCGAAGCCCCTCATCCTCACTGTACACTGGACACCCTCCTTGGAAAATACCTTGTAAAGCCCTATCAGTTATTTATACGTCAAGGTAAAAGTGTGGGCTTTTAAAAAAAGTTTTTAAATTAAACTTATTGGGGTAACGTTGGCTAATAACGTTATATAAATCTATAATACGACATCTGTATACTCTTTTGTGTGCTCACCGCCCGAAAGCATGTTTCCAGATCCTTTCCCTGGCAGAAGGTTTTGCTAACTAAGGGGAAGGGGAAAGAGAGCATGAGCTGTGCAAAGGCCTGGGAACGGAGACAGGAGGCTGCCCAAGCAGGGAGGCCCCCGTCTCCCCTGCTTCCAGCCTTGGCCTGTGGTGCCAGGCAGGTCGGCCTTGGCCCCTTGCCCCACTGGCGAGCCTGAGCGCGGCCTGGGGCTTCAGCTGTCACTCCAGGTACCTGCACAGACTCCCAGCAGCACTCGAGAAAAGATGATCAGTTCAAAAGCCTTGGCCACCTTGCTGACTCCCATCAGGACGGCGGGGACAATGGCGAAGACGTTATTGATCAGCAGGGTTCCCTTTCTGCAGGGACAGCAGAGCCCAGAGGGCAGGGCGCTGAGGTGGCAGAAGCTGTCCCCGCCAGCTCCCGCTCTCAGGCAGCGATCACAGCCGCCTGGGAATGTGCCTGCGAGGGCCGGCGGCTGGAAAGCTGGGGCCGATGCACACGAGTCCCAGGAAGGAAGGCCTGGGGCGGGTGTGCTAACAGTTGGAGCTGACTGAGGACAGTAGGGAAGGAAGGAGTGGGCTGCCTCCTCAGGTAGGGAGCTTGCTGTTGCTGGTGGTATTCAAGCAGTGACTAGACTAGATGAAGGTGATCAGGAATGTTGAACAGGGGATTCCCACAACAGATGGGATACAGAGTCAGACTAGACGATCCCATGAGTCTATGAAAGAGTGGGGGGGGGGCGCCTGGAAAACAGAGCTACACTGTCCTGCCCCCCAGGACCATCCCTACCTTCTGGACTGTGCCCTCTGCCCTTTGATGACATCCATCAATGGCTCCCTTGACCCCCGGCCCCCACGTTTGGCTTGGGTTTTGCCAAAGGAGAAAACAGTGGAAGGTCAGGAAGGAAGGAAGTGTCCCAGCTGTGGGGTGGCTGCAGGCTGCACAGCCTTTGTGACTTGCCCACATTCCTCCCACCTTTGAGGACCATCAGGACTTTGAGGACTTCGGCAGGAGCGGGGGTGGGGGGTCTTTAAACAGAAACACAGAAACCCCTCCTGAGGGGTAGCCACAGAGTCCTGTGAAAATCCCTGCTAGGCAGCACTGGGTGCCCAGATGTGCAGAATGGTTTTCTCAGGCTCCTTTCTCTCCTGGGGTGGCTGTTCCCCTGAGAAAGCTGCCATCAGAGCCCAAACTGAGAGCAGAGGATCTGCCAGCCCTGATCCAGAGAGAACAGCCCTCACCTGCCTGTCCCTCCGCCAGCCCTGACTGCTCAGGGCTGTCCGGAACCCACTGGGACAAGGCCAGCTCCACTGTGAGCCAGTCTCAGGGTCCTCATCTGCAAAATGAGGGTGGCGATGAGACCATCTCTAAGGCCCCAAGTTCTGTGACTGTGGGTCCAGGCAAGGAGGCCAAGCCTGGGCTTCCAGAACAGTCCAGCCACTCCTACTGTAAGCTGGGAACAGCACAGTCTGAGTCACAGAAAAGCCTGGTTTATGGTGTGATTACAACATACTGGATGTTGTCCTCATTCACGTGCACAACATGTGGCAACTGCTAATCAAGCATCTAGAGGAGGAGGTCCTATTGGTCCTGCTTTAACACATAACTGATTTTCAGTATTTCCTTCCATGCACGAAAACTGAATTGCTGCAGCTCTTTAAAAGTGAGTCTGCTTTAGAGGGTTTTCCACTCACGCCCACACACTGCCAGCCTTGGCATATCAAGTCCAAGTGCATCTGTGAATTCCAAAGAGTGGGATGTGGCCAGATGGCATTCCCGGTGCCTCACCCCGAGACCTTGGCTCACACCCTTCCTTCCTGGGGACCTTGACCTGGGCACCCTTCCTTTTCTGCAGAGTCACCTCTTTGCAGCACCTGGGCTCAGGCACAAAGATTAGGGGGTCCGTGCGAGCCAACCAAAGTACAAAGGGCCACTGTTCATTCGGAAAGAAGACCTGAGACCGGGGCATGTGGAGTGACTCAGCCTGAACCCCAAACCTCAGAACAACAACACTGATGAGGCCACCCAGGGAGAGGCTGCAGCTGTGACAACTTGGAGCCACGGGTCACCTGCCCACAAATCAAACCCAATCAACAAGCCTTCACTGGACACCTGCTCCAGGTGCTGAGGAGGCACCGAGTGAAGTACCGTCAAGAACTTTGCTCTCAAGGCTGCCCCTCGTCCACGGGGTTGATGACAGAGGGACGGCTGTTCCCGTGCAACTGACAAGGGAAGAAGTCCCAGGAAACTCAGGGGCTTGCTTTAGGGCATCATGTCTGTGGCAAAGTGGGGACTAGGCTTTTCAGGGCCACATCAAGTCCCCACCACATATGCAACCGACAAGAGCCAGCGCAGTTTCCTAACGTGAATAGCGCCCCCTCCTGTTTACCTGCCACACTTGTCGACCAGCACGCCGACCATCAGCGACCCCAGCAGGCCGCCCAGAGGAAACATGGACACGGTGCAGGACCACAGGAGCAGCAGGAGCCTCTCGTCCATGCCTGTTCCGTGTCGCTCAAAGTAGGTGTCGTTATAAAATGACTTCAAGACCTGGAAAACATTGCCCCATTCGTAGCCAAGAACATGAGGCAACTCAGGGGAGGACTTGAGGCCGGTGGCCGCCCCCCGGTCCCTTGGGCCCACCTTGTGTGGCGTGTTGACCACGGCGATGTTGTAGCCGTACTGGAAGGCCGAGCCGAAGGCCGCGCTCAGCGTCGCCAGCACCAGCATGGGCTGCAGTCGCTGCGGAGGTGGGGTCCAAGATCAGGGGCTCTGGGGTTGGTCTTAGACCTCAGGAAGTGGGCCCCCCACCAGGCTGGGCACAGAGTAGGGGACCCCCAGGCCAAGCCCAAGGAAGGTGGGTTGGTGGCTGGCTGGGGTTGGGGCTCCCAGGGCTCTGAGACGTGGGAGGCAGCGTGGGGAGCGTGGGTGGGAGGGTTTCCTGTTCCTCCTCAGTCATTCCCTCCTTAAAGATATATCTGAGCCCGGCCGGGCGTGGCTCAGCGGTTGAGTGTTGACCTAGCATCCAGGCGATCGGGGTTCGATTCCCGGTTAGGGCACATGCCCAGGTTGCAGGCTCGATCCCCAGTCAGGGGCGTGCAGGAGGCAGCCGATCAATGACTCTCTCATCACTGGTGTTTCTCTCTCTCCCTCTCCCTTCCTCTCTCTGAAATCAATAAAGATATATTTAAATATATATATACATATATATACACACACACATATATCTGAGCTTCCACCCTGTGCCTGGCCCTGGATGAAGTAGGGGATGCTTCTGAAAAAGGTCCAGCATCACGCTGGCCTTGCGGAGTTGACATTCTAGAGAGGACATTCTAGAGAGCAGAGGCCGAAAAGAAAAAAGACAGATACGAGAATCCCAAAATTCGATAATACTGTGAGGACAGTCAAATGGGGTAAGAGGGCAGAGCTGGTGGGTAGGAGGGGCCGTGTTCAGTAGGGTGGGCAGGGCAGGCGTCTCTGGGAGGCGCCTTTGAGCTGAGCCCTAAGTGGACAAGAGTGTGGGGCGGAGTGTCCCAGGTGGAGGGAGCGGGGAACATAGGCCCTGGAGCACACCTGAGGCTTGTCTGTCACTCCTGGGCAGGTGCCCAGGAAAACCGAGGCAATGGGGCTTCCATGCTACCACAGAACCCAGGGCAGCTCTGGGGAACTGGCCCCAGAGCCAAAGTGTGAGGAGGGGGCGGCAGAATTGGGCAGGGTCTGCGGCTGCCTGAATTGGTGCTGCCCGGGACTCCAAGAAACCTGCTGATCCGGAGCCACAGCCCTTGCGCCATCCCCCACCCCTCTGTTTGCCTGTGAACTGCACCCCTATCCCCCACCCCCACCATTGGCTGTTTGACCGCCAGCAGGCCTCAGGCCTGCTCGCCTGGGAACCAGCCCTTCGAAGGGCAGGGTGTAGGGTTCCGGCACCTCCAGAGGCTGGGGACGGGGACAGGGCCGGGGGCTGGGGGTTGCAAGGAGGGTGGCATCTCCAAGATCACCCAGTCTCCCACACTTCATTAGAGCTGGACTCAGCCTCCCCCTCTTGTGTCTCAGCTGCGATGCCTGAGGAAGCAGCCGTCCCCACACTGGTCTCCCAGGGCTGGTGATCCCCGGGAAAGGCAGGGCAGGGCCTCCCCTCCTTGCATTTCAGGAGCCTTCCCCTCCCTCGGCAGGTCCCCGCTTCTGGCGGGAAAGGGACAGTAACAGTGGCAGTTTCCTAGACCTGGCACTTACCCCCTTCCGGGGTGGGCTGGGCATCTCCATCCTGTTCAGGGGAGAAACAGGTGCGCTCTGCCTCCCAGGCGACACCCGGGTCTGCTCGGCACCAGCCCTGTCTCCCTGGGGCCTGTGTGGCTTTATTACCCTTTTGGCCTCTGGACCCTGCCGACTTCCCCCAAGAGCACGCTTTCCTTGGACGTACTGATAAGATAAGTTTCACACGCAGCATGAATTTTGTCTTTGCCTCCACCGAGCCCCAAACCAGAAGCTCCCTAATTGTGCCAAGGAGGGAGAAACACTGTCTGCCATTGGTGCCTAGACATGTGCAGTCCCGGAGGCCCCGGTGGCCCGATTGCCTGGATCTCGGGTGCTTCTCCCGTGTTGAGTTCTTTGTGCTTCCGCTTACAAATGTGGACTAATTGCTCATCAGCAAACAAAACACTTTTAAAGAACTACAACTTAATTATTTCTAATTACACCTACGGGCACCAAATAAGTCAGTAAAATATTAAACGAAGGTGTTCGCTTCAGAATTATCTCTATTAAGAGAAAATAAAGTGGGGACTGACTAAGTGATGACAGGCTGCCGTTCCAAAGGATAATTATGAAAATTATGTAAGAATATGGCACCACGTTATGAACGTGATGCTAAGTCGCCAAAGCGAAATGCACGCGGGGGCCTGGGTGCGAGCGGGCCGTGTAGACGGATGAGGGGCGTGGCCATCGGTCTTCCCCGAGCAGCGCGGCCCGCCTTGCTCATCTCCAGGCGCCTACACTAAGCACTAAAATCCTGCGCACACCACATGCTCTTTGCCCAGCTGACAAAAAATAGGTATAAGTTTGATTCATTCACACTGGTCATTGCTGTGTTCACTGTTGTCATTTTTGTTTATTTTTGTTTAAAATATTACAGATGTCCCTTTTTCTCCCCAACGACCCGTTCCACCCCGTCCCTTCCCCCTCCCCAGTCCCTCTCCCCACCATTGTCCGTGTCCTTGGGTTGTGCATAGATGCATATAATTCTTTGG